CCACAGATCCAGAGCATGAATAGCCAAATGAGGGGGGAAGTGTCAGAGTTAATAAATTCTGCCTTTTAGGCAACTATTAGTACTTACCTTACTTGTCATGCCCAATAGGACCATCAAATAAACAACTGTCATTTGTGGTGCACAGATTAGCAGCACCAACTAACACTGATTTAATTCACCATTATTAAAAATGATGCCCACTCCAGACAAGAAGTAAAGGAACCATGACTCTCTGGCCTGTAGTCAAAGGCAGGGGAACGTTCTGAGAACTTAATGTACATCACTGTGAGTGGTCAAACTTGTCATAGGGGCTCATATTAATTGGGAAACATGTTGGGGAATGCCACGGAAAGAAAAAAATAAACTTTCTTGCTAACCATCTGCAAGTATTGCTTTTTTTTTTTTTTTCTTGAGATGGAGTCTCACTCTATCGCCCATTCTGGAGTGCAATGGCACAATCTCGGCTCACTGCAACCTCCACTTCCTGGGTTCAAGCAATTCTCCTGCCTCAACCTCCCGAGAAGCTGGGATTACAGGCACCCATCACCATGTCCAGCTAATTTTTGTATTTTTTCAGTAGAGACAGGGTTTCGCCATGTTGACCAAGCTGGTCTCGAACTCCTGACCTCAGGTGATCCACCCACCTCAGCCTCCCAAAGTGTTGGGATTATAGGCTTGAGAGACTACACTCAGCAAGTATTGCTTATTTAAAATAAAACTATTCCCATACTGTCACACTCATCTCAGCCTGAGACAGACCTTGTGTATCTTAATTCACTTTTCTTCTCCCTACTCCAAATTGCATATCAAGTAATACGAAGAAAAATATTGTGTACAAACTACTGGTTTGGAATACATAGCCAGAGCAATAAGAATACAAAAATAAATGAGAGCTAAGAATAAGGAAAAGAAAGAGACAATACTCAGTGACCACATGATCATCTACATATGTGATGTCAGATCACCTGAAAATATCAGAGACTCACAAAATCATGTGGCCCTACCCTTCCTTGGAGAAAGCCAATCTATTAGAACCGAAGTTACAGCAGAGGCTAAGTCTGGCTGGTGAAGAAATGGAATAGACCAACTGGCTGTATTTGGACCGCCCACCACTTGTCCTGGGCCCCCTGCCTTGAGCTACAGCTTCCTGATCTCTCATCACTTCAGGGCAAGGAGCCATTCTCCACAAAGCCTGCGGAAGAAAAACTGTTCAAGAGATTGCAGGGATTTTGGCATTTCCCAGGAAGCCTTCAATTAACAAGACAGGAACCAAGATGTGAAGCCCCATGTAGGAGGGCTGAGGATACCATCATCCCAGAATATTGGAGGTCCAACACAGACCAGCCTGTGGCTGCTCTCAGACTTAGAGGGCCACAGGCAGGGCTGAGACTGAGCGTCTCCACAATTATCCTTCAACATTCTCAGGAGCATGAGAGACTTCAGGAAGACAAACTCAGGTCAGTAGAAGGACTGTGAGCTTCTGATAGATACCGAGGTGATGACCCTGAATGAAGAATAAAGGAAGGAACAAGCCAGAACAGTGGGGTCCCATAGAGTCCTGCCCTGGCTGACAGCCCTTGTCATTCTGGAATAGTCGTTGGTGGATTTGGCTCATCCTGATTACAACTCTGTAGTCTCAGGAAGGTGAGAACCTTGATCAGAGGTGAGCAGCCTCAAGTCCCATGAGGATCAAGTTCCAGGACTAGTCAGGTGTCAAGGTGAGGAATTTCAGGGAGGAATTAGAAAACCACACATCCACACTAGAACAGAGGAAGACACAAAAACTCTTACCTCCACCAACCCACATCTCCCCTTTCCCGCACTGCCGCCGCCACACCATCCCATCCCCACTCCTGCCACCCCATCCGTACCTCTCCTGTGACTCGGGATGCCCAGGAATAGCTGTCAGGTTTGGGTGGCTGTCATTTCGGCCTGGAGGGTCTCAGGGAAGGGAGAATCTTGGTCTGGTGGGGGCAGCCCCAGCTGTGCATAGTGGAGCCCCAGAAACTGACTCGAATCAAGGTGAGGACCCTGAGTGACATAAGGGAATGGTTATCAGCAAAAAATAAAAACAAAAGTAAAAAAATGCTTCATCTTGTCAGTCATAACAAAGACCTCAGCTGAGGATCCCCTTTTTTCTGCTTAGATGCTCTAACGAGGGTAGTGACTCTGTCTAAAGGCAAAAGCACAGGTCAGCTGAGGGAGGAGAACTGGACACTCACTGGAGTCCCGGAGAGGACACTGAGTACACTGGAGAGGACTTCTATGCAAAAAGAGGCCCTAAGCAGAGCCCCGCCCCTGGGCGACCCCACAGGGACTTGGTTGGATGTGGCTCACTCCGACTTCCGCCCGCCAGGGAAGCTGCCGGAAGGTGAAGATCTTCATCTGAGGGACGCCACCTCAGGCTACCAGAACCCCAGGACTGGTTGGGTATCAAGGTAAGGACCCCGATCGTGGACTGAAAGGCCCACCCGCACGCAGCCAAGGTGACCACCCTGTGTCCCCCAACCTCCGCCCCCGGGCACCCACCTCCCTCAGCCGCGGGAGGCTCCAGTCAGGCTGTGGCGCTGATTTCTGAGAGGGTACCAGGGAGGGGAGGGTTTGGTGTGAGGGTGAGGCTCCGATTCTGCAGAGGGATGGACACCTAGGCCCTAATCGAAATGAGGCCCCTGATGCTGATGAGGAGACCTCTCCCAAACACAGGAGGCCCACGAGGTGGGCGTGGTAGCGCATACCTGTGATTCCAGTGCTTTGGGAAGCTGAGGCGGGAGGATTACCTTAGCCTAGCAGTTCCAGACCAGCCTGAGCAACAAAGCAAGACCCTCTTTCTCCAAGAAAGAAAAGAATAAAAACTAGCGGGACATGGTGGCCGGCGCCTGTGGTCCCAGCGACTCGGGAGGCTGACGCGGGAGGATTGCGAGAGCCTAGCAGATGGAAGCTGCAGTGAGCCATGGTCACGCCATGAACGTGGCGACAGACAGAGACCCCGTGTCTGTCACAAAGAAAAAAAAAAAAAAGAAAAAAGCAAGAGAGCCAGGGAGAGCCCGAGAGCCAGGTTTCTGCTGCCCTGTTGTCAGCTCTGGGAGACCCCGTGCAGACATAGCCAGACTGGGCATGCCCTGACTTTCCCTTTAGCAACTTTGGGACGTGAGACCTTGGGCCTGGACCTGGCTGACTTAGGTAAGTGAAGCGACCTGAGTCGCGTCCCAAAGAGTTGGAGGTCCCACCCTGAGGCAAGTTCAGAACCCTGAGGTAGAGCAGTGGGGTCCCCTAGAGTCCCACCCCAGCTGTCACGCCTTGAAGGCCCTAAACAGCCTTGAGAGGATGTGGCTTACCCTGAATGTACAAATCTGATGTCCCATTGAAGCAAGGACCTTGCTGTGAAGGGTGCTGCCTGTGATGAGCTGAGGATGGAGTCCCAGGACTGGTCAAGTAGCAAGGTGAAGATCCTGAGCCCTCAGCAGACAGGGCTGCACAGAGGGTGTCAGCAGAGGAGGGCTTTGGTTGCAAGACTGGCTGCCCCAGGTCAGCAGAGAAAGGAGTCCCAGTCTCTGTGGGGAGTGAAGGTAAAAAAAAATCCTGCATGAGGAGGGAGGAAAATGACCACTCCAAAACACAAGAGAGGACATAAAGTCTCAGCTCTGCTGTGCGCCCTGGGAAACCATGGGCAGAGCCATTAGCATTCGGTGATCCTGGTGTCCTGAAGGGGTCAGGGTGGTGTCTCAGAGAAGTGGCTCTTTTGCACCAATGGGCGAGGCCCCATTCATGGCAGGATAGGAAGGAGGACTTAGTCCCTGGTGGGAGTCAAGGGGAGAACACTGAATGAGAAGAGGGAGCCCCTCCCAGGGAGAAGTAGACCACATAGAGCACCACCCCTACCCTCACCCCTGGGAGACCCAGGCACGTTGGCGTGGTGAGTGGCATTTCCTCCCAGGGCATCTCAGGGAGGTGAAGAGCCTGGGTAAAAGGGACAGCCTCAAGACAGCTGCTGGAGGTTGTTAAGCTGTTGCCAGGAGTCAAGGTGAGGACCCTGAGGACCGAGGGGACCACCCATGTGTAACTGCAGGGCCAACACAGAAAATCTCCGCTGCTCCCAGTCTTGGGAAATGATGAGCATTTGTGGCCAGCTGAGGTGACCGTCACTCGGGGTATTTCAGAATGGAGGGGCTGGTATGAGGGAATAAGTCTCAGGTTAAGACAGGAGTGTTTTCCAGGTAGTGATGGGAGTCAGGGTTAAGACTCTGAGTGAAGGCTGAGGAGAGCACTCACCTGGATCTGGGAGCACTACAAGGGAGCACTACAAAGTCTGGCTTCCCTCTCAGGCCTGGGAAACCCCGGGAGAGGGAGTCGAATAGAGGGCCCCTCACTTCTAGCCCATGGGGGCTCAGGGTGGACAGGGCCTGGGGCTGAGGCTGGAGGAATCTGGTGGGCTGAGGGACATGTCTCATATCCTGCCTAAGTGAGGACTAACAGGGCCACCGAGCCCAGAACATCAGAGGCTCTGAGAGTCCAGACCCTGCTACCAGTCCAGAAAGGCCGTGAACAGAGGTGGCTGGAGGGGCCTCATGCTTTCTTTCCCCTTGGGGTGGGGGCGGGGTCTCAGGAAGGTGAGGGCCTTGACCTGAAGGGAAGGGCCTCAGATAGTGAGGACCCTGAGGAGTGTGGAGCCACTGGCCCCAAATTAGTAAGAGGACCTCAGGATCCCTCCCTATGTCAGAGGTTTGAGGCCCCAGACAGGGATGTCAAGCCCAGATGCCTCAGTTTCCCCTCAGAGGAAACAGAGAAGTGAGGATCTTGGTCCCAGGCAGGGCTGGCAGGCTGCAGGGCAAGGAGCACTGTAACTTCTTCCCCAGGGTCCCCAGGGGACAGGCTGCCCTGGAGAACAGGAGCCAGGTGGGGCTGTGGAGCAGGGTCCTCAAGGACACCTGCATGGGGGCCTCCTTAAGGTGATATCTCCCCACTGAGGGGCTCACGCCCTCTGTTCCTCCTGCTCCAGGTGCCCACCTCCTGCACCCTCTTGCCTGCTGCCCCTGAGCACAGTCATCATGCCTCGCGGTCAGGAGAGTAAGCGCCGTGCCCGTGAAAAACGCCGCCAGGCTCGAGGTGAAGACCGATGTCTCAGGGGTGCTCAAGCCACCGCAGCAGAGAAGGAAAAGCTGCCATCCTCCTCCTCGCCTGCATGCCAGAGTGCTCCCCAGAGCTTCCCCGCTGCGGGCATTCCTCAGGAGTCCCAGAGAGCCAGCTACCCCAGCTCTCCTGCTGCAGCTGTGTCACTCACAAGTTCTGAGGAAGGTGCCAAGGGCCAAAAGGGGGAAAGTCCCAACTCCTTCCAAGGCCCGTCCTCCTCTGAGAGCACAGGAAGAGATCTTCTGAACAGGAAGACGGGCGAATTGGTGCAGTTCCTGCTCAACAAGTATATAAGGAAAGAGCCCATTACGAGGGAAGCCATGCTGAAGGTTATCAACAGAACATACAAGCAGCACTTCCCTGAGATCCTCCGGAGAAGCGCTGAGAACGTAGAGGTGGTCTTTGGCCTCTACCTGAAGGAAATGGACCCCAGCCGTCAGTCCTATGTGCTTGTCAGCAAGCTGGACTTTCCCGATCAAGGAAGCTTGGGCGATGATGGGGGTTTTCCCCGGAGCGGGCTCCTGATGGTTCTCCTGAGCACCATCTTCATGCATGGCAACCGTGCCACTGAGGAAGAGATGTGGGAATGCCTGAATGCATTGGGGATGTATAAGGGTAGGAAGCACTTCATCTATGGGGAGCCCCAGGAGCTTCTCACCAAAGATTTGGTGCGAGAGGGGTACCTGGAGTACCGGCAGGTGCCCAGCAGTGATCCTCCACGCTGTGAGTTCCTGTGGGGTCCCAGGGCCCATGCTGAAACCAGCAAAATGAAAGTCCTGGAGTTTGTGGCCAAGCTCAATGATACCGTTGCCAGTACCTACAAGTCCCAGTATGAGGAGGCTCTGAGAGAGGAGGAAGAACAAGCCAGAGCCAGAGCAGCAGCCAGGGCTAGCGCCAGGGCCAGGGTTAGCAGGTCCTCTCAGCCGTAGTGAAGTCTCAGGCAATCCTCACTAAGAGATTGAAAAGGGCTGTCCACCATCTCAGTATTTGGGGGTGAGGTGGGGCTAGAGGGAGCCCAAGACATGTGTCCTTCTCGTGTTCTGGTTATTTGCAAGCCACTTGTAGATTCCCTCTTTTTCTTCTATGTCTACCGTGTGTTCCTTTGAAAGAGATTGACTTTGATTCAGAATCTAAATTCATGAATTAGGTGCCTCACAAAATTATTGCTGTTTATCACATTGAAGAGTGATGTTCTTGTATTTTGTAAAATGAATTGGAAATTTTTACTTATTAGATTGTGATCTAGTGCAAGAAGAAATAGCAATGGAATAGGGATTGGCTTTAAACTGTGAAACAACCAAACGCTGCATCAGTTGGGATTAGAAGATGGTGGGAAAAAAGTGTCACTTGATTGGCAACCTTTGACATTTAAAAATCTTATTTCTTTAAGTCTTTTGTTGTGATCAAATAAAAAGCTATATACTCACAGTTGCTATGTGTATTCAAGAATGTTGGAGAAATTAAATCATCATAAAGGAGAACACTTGTTCACTGGCTCTTTTGTTCCTTGTGCTAGGCAGTTCTTGTGTTGCTCTAAAGCATACCTGAGACTGGGTAATTTCTAAAGAAAAGAGGTTGACTTCGCTCACGGTTCACCAGGCTGTATGAGCATGGCACCAGCAACTGCTTCTGGGGAGGCCTTGGGGAGCTTTTTCTCATGCCAGGAGGGGAAGAAGGTGCAGGCATGTCACGTGGCAACAGTGGGTGGAAGACAGCCAAGCAGAGCGGGTATGGGAGGTGCCACATGCTTTCAAATGACCAGATCTTGTAAGAAGTCACTCACTATGGCCAGGGCACCACCATGCCATGAGGGACCCTCCTTAATGGTCCAAACACCTCCCACCAGGCCCCACCTCCAACACTGGGAATTACATCTCAACCTGACATTTGGAGGGGACAAACATCCGAATTACATCATTCACCAAACATGAATTGAACATCTGCTCTTTGAGAGTCTTCATGCTAGTTCTGGGAAAGCACAGACAAAGAAGACTCAGCCCCTCACAATGATATTTTAGAATCCAAGAGCAGCTCTCCTATTAGGAACACGGTGGGGTTGGGGGGCGGGGCGGAAGAGACACATTGGAATACCTAAGGGGCAATCAAGGGACTGGAGAGGAGGGAGGAGATTCAAGATAGGATCCTCCCCCCATTGCCCCTCCCCTACTATAAATGCCCTGGGACAGGGCAGGCTGGGAACTTGGGACACTGCCAGTCCCTCAGTAGGAGGGCATTTCAAGTTAGCCTGCCTCAGGGGAATGAGAGAGTTAATACACAAAAATCTTCACTGTCATTAGAGAGTAATCCCAGCTACTTGAGTGGCTGAGGCACGAGAATCACTTGAATTGGGGAGGCAGAACCTGCAGTGAGCTGAGATCACACCACTGCATTCCAGCCTGGGCGACAGAACGAGACTCTGTTTCAATAAATAAATACATAAATAAATAAAATAAGTGTGATGAATTTACTTTCTTATCATAATGAAATATATCCAAAGAGTCGGCATTATGATTTATGAGAAAATGCTAGCAACATCCCTATTAAAACGAGGACAAGGATAGTTTTTATTACCGTTGCTGTTTAACTTTTAGAACAAATTTTAGCCAAAACAATTAGACAGAAAAATAAATCAAAAGTCGTAAAAACTGGAAAGGAGTGAGTCAAGTTGTCATTTCTTATGGATAAAAGATTTTGTTTTGCTAGAAAACCTAATAGAATGAACTAAAAAAAGTTACAAATAATAGGAAATTTGAGTACGTTTCTAGGTATAAAGTTAATATACAGAAAACAATAGCTTTCACACAAATAAACAACAACTAATCACAAGATGTACTGGAGAAGCCAGGCACAGTGGCACACATGGTAGTCCCAGCTACTCCAGAGGCTGAGGCAGGAGGATTGCTTGATCCCACGAGTTTGAGTCCAGCCTGGACAATGTAGCAAGACCCCATCTCTAAATATATATACTGGAGAAGACCCTACTTACAATAGCCACAATAGCCAAAAAAATGAAATGCCTGGAAATAATAAGAAATATACAAAATTTATATAAAGAAAATGTTTAAAGGATCTTGAGGGATAAAAGAAATATATACTATATCCTTGGATAGAATGACTCAATATCATAAAAATGTTGGTTCTCCCTAAATTAATCTATAAATTTAGCAGATCCTCAATAAAAATTCTATGGACTTTTGGGGAAAATATAGAAGTCGAATCTAAAGTTTTTATGAAAAAATTAACAAGCAAGAAAACCCAGTAAATCTCTGAAATGTAAAAGTTCTAATGGGGGGACTAGGTCTATCAGATATTAAAATGTTGCAAAAGTATAAAAGTATTAAAAGTAATGCATGAGTATAGGGATCAGTTGAACACATGAGAAATTTCAGAAATAAATCTAAGTACACATGATAATTTAGTAGATGATAAAGACAACATTTTAAATCAGTGTAGAAAAGATGGATTGACTAATAAACGATGCTGGAACAACAGGGTAGTATCTTTAAAAATGTATTTTGGGGCCGGGCGCCGTGGCTCATGCCTGTAATCTCAGCACTTTGAGAGGCTGAGATGGGCGGATCACGAGGTCAGGAGTTCGAGACCAGCCTGGCCAACATGGTGAAACCCCGTCTGTACAGCCAGGCATGGTGGCACGCACCCATAATCCCAGCTACTCAGGAGGCTGAGGCAAGAGAATCGCTTGAACCCGGGAGGCGGAGGTTGTAGTGATCCAAGGTCACACCAATGTACTCCAGCCTGGGCAACAGGGTGAGACTCCGTCTCGGTTCTTTACAGCATCTCTCACAAATATAAGTAAATATGAATGTGCACTATTCAAACATAAATAAATATGACAGAACATGTATGTAAATAAATGCCATGCAACATGCAAATATAAATAAATATAAACATGCACTAAACTTTTAAACGAAAAACTTGGTACTACAAAAATACTAGAAAAAAACAGAGTCCTTTAAAAAAATATATAGTGCATAAAGCCATTATAAGTAATGCACCACTTTAAAAAGACAAATACATGCAAAAATATTTTCATGGCAACAAAATGCCATAAGCAAAATCAAGAGACCAAAGGATTATTTTAACTTTTATAATATTCAAAGACAATGTCTCTAAATATATCTTCTAGATGACAAGAACAAAAAGATAAAATCACTGTAAAAGATGAAGAAAGAATATCAGTTAGCTATTGCCATAATAATGCTGAGTAACAACCCATCCTTAAACTCAGTGGCATAAAAAAATAAGCATTTATAGGCCGGGCATGGTGGCTCACGCCTGTAATCCCAGCACTCTGGGAGGCTGAGGCAGGCAGATTACTGGAGGACAGGAGTTCCAGACCAACCAGGCCAACATGGCAAAATCCCATCTCTACTAAAAATAAAAAAATTAGCTGGGCATGGTGGCTCACGTTTGTAGTCCCTACAGAACACAATCCCATTTACAATAGCCACACACACACACACACACACACACACACACACACACAAATAAAATACCTAGAAATACATCTAACCACGGAAGTGAAAGCTCCCAACAAGGAGAATTACAAAACACTGCTGAAAGAAAGCATAGATGACACAAACAAATAGAAAAACATTCCATGCTCATGGATTGGAAGAATCAATAAATGGCCACAATGTTCAAAGCATTATACACATTCAACAGTATTCTTATCAAAATATCAATGTCATTTTTCACAGAATTAGAAAAAACTATTCTAAAATTCATATAGAACCAAAAAAGAACCTGAATAGTCAAAGCAATCCTAAGTAAATGAAACAAAGCCGGAGGCATCACGTTACCTGACTTCAAACTACACTATAAGGCCACAATAACCAAAACAGCATGGTATTGGTACAAAAACAGACAAGAAGACCAAGAAAAAGAATAGAAAACTCAGATATAAAGCTGCACAGCTACTATCATCTGATCTTTGACAGTGCTAACAGAAACAAGCCATGGGGAAAGGACTACCTAGTCAATAAATGGTGCTAGCATAACTGGCTAGCCATATGCAGAAGAATGAAACTAGACCCCTACCTTTTACCATATGCAAAAATTAACTTAAGATGAACTAAAGATTTGAATGTAATACCTCAAACTACAAAAATCCTAGAAGAAAACCTAGGAAATACCTTCTTGATATAGGCTTTGGCAAATAATTTATGGCTAAGTCCCCAAAAGCAATTGCAACAAAAACAAAAATTGACAAGTGGGACCTAATTAAACAAAAGAGCTTCTGCACAACATAAGAAATGATCAGCAGACTAAGCAGGCAACCTACAGAATGGGAGAAAATATTCACAAAATATGCATCAGACAAAGATCTAATATCTAGAATCTATAAGGAACTTAAACAAATCAACAAGCAATAAACAACCCCATTAAAAAATGGGCAAAGCGTATAGCCAAGACAATCCTAAGCAAAAAGAACAAAGCTGGAGGCATCACGCTACCTGACTTCAAACTATTCTACAAGGCTACAGTAACCAAAATAGCATGGAACTGGTATAAAAATAGACGCATAGACCAATGGAACAGAATAGAGATCTCAGAAATAAGACTTCACATCTACAACCATCTGATCTTTGACAAATATGACAAAACAAGCAATGGGGAAATGATTTCCCATTTAATAAATGGTGCTGGGAAAATTGGCTAGCCATATGCAGAGAATTGAAACTGGACCCCTTCTTTACACCTTATACAAAAATTAACTCAAGATGGATTAAAGACTTAAATGTAAAACCCAAAACTATAAAATCCCTAGAAGAAAATCTAGGCAATGCCATTCAGGAAGCATGGGCAAAGATTTCATGATGGAAATGTCAAAAGCAATTGCAACAAAAGCAAAAATTGACAAATGGGATCTAGTTAAACTAAAGAGATTCTGCACAGCAAAAGAAGCTATCATCAGAGTGAACAGACAACCTACAGAATGGGAGAATATTTTTGCAATCTATCCATCTGACAAAGGTCTAATACCCAGAATCCACAAAGGTCTAATACCCAGAAGCTTAAACAAATTTAAAAGAAAAAAGCAAATAACCCCATTAAAAATGGGCAAAGGACATGAAAGGACACTTCTCAAAAGAATACATTCATGCGGCCAACAAATATATGAAAAAAAAGCTCAACATCACTGATCATTAGAGAAATGCAAATCAAAACCCCAGTGAGATACCATCTCATGCCAGTCAGAATGGCAATTATTAAAAAGTCAAAAAACAACAAATGCTGGTGAGGCTGTGGAGAAATAGGAACGCTTTTTACACTGTTGGTGGGAATGTAAATTAGTTCAACCATTGTGGAAGGTAGTGTGGCAATTCCTCAAAGACACAGAACCAGAAATACCATTTGACCCAGCAATCCCATTACTGGGTATATACCCAAAGGAATATAAATCACTCTATCATAAAGATACATACACTCGTATGTTCATTGTAGCACTATTCACAATAGCAAAGACATGGAATCAACCCAAATGCCCATCAATGATAGATCGGATAAAGAAAATGCCATGGTGGCTCATGCCTCTAATCCCAGCACTTTGG